TGTGTATATCTTCTCATTACCTATTAGTATTCCTTAATTTAAATACTTTATAAAAAAAAACTATGTCAACTAGAATACTATTGGACAGACTCGGTATTAAATTCTAAAAAGACAAATGTAAAAAGTAAAAATATTAATCTAAGCTACTATTTGACGAAAGTCTGTGTTAACTTATATGTTTTGTTTGTTTGTAATTAAGCACAAAACTACACAATGGGCTATCTGTGCTCTGCCCACCACGGGTATCGAAACTCGGATTCTAGCGTTGTAAATCCTCAGACATACCGCTGGGCCACTGAGGGCATGTTAGCTTACAACTGGCGAACAAGTGGACCGGTTGTCACTAACCTCGTATATACCGTTAGGGATCCTCCTGGAGAATGACATAGAGGGGTCAGCATACAGATCTGAGGGACTTCTATGTCTTATTCGTGTGTTCAGAGGTTATGGAATAAAAAGGAAAGAAAATAAGAAAATTTACTTTTCAAAAAAATTGTTTTTAAAATTCTATAATTGGTCAACTTACAAGTGATTTTAGTTTCAATAATTTCATAATTGCTTCACATGCTGCACTTCACAATTCAACAACTCTTGACTTGTTTGAAACTTAACTTTTCATTTGTTTGTTTATAGTTAAGCACAAAGTTACACAATGGATTATCAGCATTGTGTCAACCAGAGGTATCGAAACCTGGTTTTTAGCGCTATAAGTTCGTAGATATACCGCTGTGCCACTAGGAGACTTGACAGAGTGTAAAATTTATTCAAAATTTATAATTGTGCTATGCTCTTTAGTTTCATAATTAGGTAAAACTTAATCAAGTGAATATCATTTTTGAAACCCCTTTTTTTAGAATTAAAAATCATATTTGAGCGCAAATGTGTCTTAATGCGACTTGAACGTTTTCTAAGGTGAATTATTTTATTACTTTAACTGGAGAAGTATATGCAGGTCGCAAAATTCTATAATAGTTTTCCTCTGGACACATGCATGATGCCACGACACTAAACGAAAACAGTGAATGTCAAAAACATAATGGCCCGGCATGGCCAGGTGGTTACGGCACTCGAATAAAAGAGTAGCCCAAGAATTGGGGTGGGTGGTGGTGATGACTAGCTGCCTTCTCTCTAGTCTTACATTGCTAAATTAAAGACGGCTAGCGCAGATAGCCCTCGTGTAGCTTTGCGCGAAATTCAAAACAAACAAACAAAAACATAAACTTCAGCAACCAGTTAGAAAAACAAAGTACAATACAAAATGAAATAAAAAATAATTATAAAATTAAAATCATAGTACAACTCAAAGTAAGACACAATACAAAAGTACAGAACAAAACCATGACGAAATAAACAAAACGCAGAAATACATGTAAATTACAAACAATAATAAAACGAAGACAAACTAAATAAAATATTAGATACATAAAAAATTAAAAGATGTCCGAGAAGTTGCAAACATAGTTAAACAAAATTGAATGTAAAATAAACACATAACCAACTAAAGAAACAAAATGAAAACAATTACAAGTCAAAACTTAGATGAAATAACACTCAAATACAAAGTAATAACAAAAACAATAGTTTATTATTTACGTCTAACATTGGGTACGAACGCTGG